CTCGACGAAATATCTTTTTTTTTTTTTTTTTTATTTTAGACACCCTGTACATGTTGGCATACGAGTTCGTACGCAAACATATTGATAATTTTTATGGAACGTTTGTCCCCGTGTTGAAAGTACAAATCGATGTATTACGGTATATAAGCTGTGCAAACAAGCAGCACACGTTAACTGTATATTTCATATGAATATGAATCGTGACACCGAATGAGATATAGATACGAAAAATAGTGTATAGGGATACGGATCGTGCCGTGATATAAATTCTATTTCGTAATTCATCAATCTTGTCGCATTCGGTGGGACAGAGAGAGCTTAATACCGTATGTATGCACGTACGGTGGTAAGTATACGTTTTACGTTTTTGTCGTGTAATTTAAACTGAGCGATAACGGTTGAAACAAAGAAATTTCTTTTTCATATCGACGCTTCTCATGATTTGTTGCATCGTTTCTCCTAGCGCGACACTCGACCATAAGCATTATCGTATATAGTTCACTTCTGTTTGTCAATTTCTTCCTCCCCTCCATTCCCCTGTAAGCTGTAGATAATAAAAATCGAACGATCCCTCGTGACTATCTAAAATTGCATTAGAACGCGAAAATTCTGAATCAACAACGTACAAAGGAATGATACACGATCGAGCGCCCTCGATTTTCGATAAACTTTTAAGAAAGAAACGATAAAATTGGTTAGACTCTAATATATGTATGAATCATATTTTTAATTGAAAGAAAATGAAAAATAAAGGGAAATTTATTTCGCTATCTATTTTGCTTTCCATATATTTGTAAATGTTCGCGTTTCAAATTATAAAAATCAATATATATATATATTCAGCGATATTAGAAAAAAACAAGAATAAAATTTAAATCAAATTTTTCTCCACGATGACAAAGAATATCACATTTAATAGCTAATGTTCAACAATATCAATTTCAGAATAAACATTGATCGAATCGAACGATATCCATCCATGTAAATTGCTCATCGGATTGGCATCGTTTCCCAAGCGACGATCGTTACGTTTTTCTCGTTAAAGGATTATTGCAAGTTCTGTCTGACAACCTTGAAGTTGTTGGAGAAAACGGAGGCTCGGATCAACGATATGCAGCACTCACCATCTCTAGACATGCCGAGGCGTAGGCACTTTTGCAACCGACAGTACTGGCACCGGTTTCTGTTTACACGGTCGACCACGCAATTCTTGTTCCGCGGACATTGATAGTTGACGACCGACGACTGGGACCGCCTGAAGAAGCCTTTGCAGCCCTCGCAGGTGATCACGCCATAATGAACACCGCTGCTCTTGTCGCCACACACCTTGCACGGGATTATTTCGATCTGGGCTGAAAGCAAATAGGGAAAAAATCGTTAAATTCGTGATCACTCTGGTAATTGAGAATCGACTCTTGCGCATGAACGCAAGCCCGTTCACTTTCGTTTCTCTTGCTTGATGAATCGATTCTAAGTTTTGTAAGATATGGTTCTTTTTTTGTTTAGATTAAAAGATTCTTGGTATTTCGATTTCATCTCGTAATTGACTCTCTTGTCTTACAATTCAATCGAAAGATATTGGTATCAAGAGTTCGTGTACAAATCAGTTAAAATAAAATTGAATAAAGAGATGAAAATATTCAGAATCATCGAAGAATCATCATTTTCGAAGAAGAAAAAAAGAAGGATTTAAATAGCTTTCAAAATTTGTATGGTATCTTTATTGTATATTAAAAATGGCGTCTCCTATTAGAAGACGTCTAGAAGATAAAGAGTTAATATTAAAAAAATTATATAAAATTGCAATTCTTAACAAATTATCAGGATTGAAAGCGTTGAAATTGTTTCAATATCGACAATTTACGTAGTTTCCAGATTCGTGATTGCTATTTCCGTGTCCAATTCATCCTCGAAAATCCAAAATGCAGCCCAAAGTTCTATCAGTTTCGGAGACGTTTATTTTCTCTTTCGTGTTTCGTTTCTCGATAGCGTGTAATCAAAGAGGAAGACCGAATCCGTCCTCCGTTTTATATGCTGCCATTTATTCCTGGCTCGTCGAAGTTCATCACAAGTTCATTGGTCGTTCTCTAGTATATTTATGGATAACCTTTCTGATTGGAGGACAATACTAGACGGCGGATTCCGTGCAACCGCGGGGTCCAAACTATGTCCAAACGCATCTAATAAGCTGTACGTGTCTTATGAGGAGATTTCGTATCGGTTTATAATATGGCAACGATAACACCGTAGTTTTTCACTTCTGGAAAATCAGAAGACTCGAAAGAAATACGTAGCCACTTCGCGCCGCGGAACATCAGCAGGCAGAAAGACACCATTCATTCATAAGTGTTTCTGTAAATTGCAATTGCTTATCCCGGATGTTCCCTCCCATCGAATCTTAGAAATCGTCTCTCTAAAAAGGTATCCTTGTCTCGATGGGGAAAAACGTGACCGAAGATTCGCGTTAAAATTCTATTTCCTCCATTGTACGAGCAATAGCACACGGATAAGAGGAGGATAATATGTACGATAATTTTTCTCAGATATAATCGTTCCAAGCAAGAGAATTACTTTCAGGAAGTATTTCACATTAATTCAAAAAAAAAAAAGAATTAGAATTAGAATAAAAGCTACATCCAGATTAACTTTGATTTGCCTTATTTCGTTCTATTTCGAGACTAAGATCACATTCAATTCCGAATATTATAAATAATATCAGGTTCAGATTATTGGCATAACAAACTTGATTTAACGAGATATTCTTATTCTTCCACCGATATTACAAATAAAATCGTATTCGTCAACGATAAGAGAAAAATGATGCACAAGATCGGATGTATTACAGGAATATCGATTGTACGAAAAAAAAAAAGAAAATTTATCATAGCCAACGAGTACCTCGTATAGAATTGACTTGTAGCCTACGATCGTCCAAGAGTGTATTTTCCGGACTTGCGGGGGTTTGCACTGGTACCCTTGTTCTCGTTTCCGGTGGCTGAGGGCTCGTGCTGTCCGCCCCCCAACTTGGCCCACCGAACGTAGAGAGACTTCCCTCCATTTACGTTCCACGCTATGGTGGCGTTTCATTTAAAAATCTGCCCACCAACGTTCCTCGCGCATAACAACATCAGAATAGTTTTTCTCCCTTTTCCACGGAATTCACGATCGGCACCTATTTCTTCCAACCATTCATCGTTCACGCGTAACAGTTCACATCACACTGCCGTTACAGTCCCACCAGCGTAGCGGTTCAACTTTTTCACAGTGTTCCGTCGAAAACAATCGTGAACAGTTTCCACAACTCGGTCATAGATGAGAGAGAGAGCGTTCCATCGATCGTGAGATCGTATAATGAAATGAATACACCCTCCTATTCTGGACACGTTGCGTGTATCCCGCGAAGAGAGGGGTGAGGATGTCCCGGAGAGACGCGAGAGAATTTTCCACAGCCGGATTCTAAAGAGGATCGTCGGGACGAGGAGAATTAGTGGCTGATACCGGTAACCGATCTCTCGCTCGATCGAGCTGCATGAGAGCACAATAGTCGAGTGTATAATTCGTGCCAATAACGAGACGAGGTTCTCTCGAAATGTTGCAAAACGAAGTTATTCTTCGAACGCTCCTTTTACAACACTCTCTCCTCTGCTGAAATTACCGTATTATTATCGTTCGTAGATCGGTTGTCCTACGACGTTGATCGCGAAGAGAGGGGCACGTTGAAGATCTTCGTTCCAACGATTTCCAGCCGGATCCTATTTATACGCCTTCTAACCTGGATTTCGACCAAGAATACACCCTGATCCCTACACCGTGAACCCCAACCCCTAAATCAATCGCGGCTTACAGGCCTCGCTCTGTAGAACGCGCCATCAGACACGGAATGCGCGCGACAAATTCCTGTCTCGAGTTTAAACTGCATCGATCACCTCACGCTTCTCCTTCGTCCACAAATGTTCAACTTGTTTTATATATATATATTTATATCAAATCGAAATAATCCATCCTGTTATAGGGGGGAGGCCGAAATTTTGCGAGAAAGATCGAGAAACGCGTCGGAAACACGGTAGAACGAGGAAAGAGCGCGATGGGACGGAGGAAAAGAGTAGAAATGCGGCTGCTGCAGTGGCTCCCGTTGCCCTCTATTTTCGTTCTCAGCTCGGTAATGCGGCGACTATATCGCGAGGGCGCTAAAGCAAGACAGAAGAAAGAGGGTGTGCTGGTGCACGAAGAAGAGAACCGGCATGGAAGGCGAAGCGAGAGAGGAGGGAGAGGAACGACGTTCTCGTGTGTAAGTATATGCATATGACGTAGATACACGTATATATATATACACTATGCATAAATGTATCTCTGTATGAATTTGTACATCTGATACATTCGCGTATCTACAGTTGCTCACACAAACGTACTCGGTATATATTTTACGAAAAATTGTAAATAGAAACAATTAGAAATTAATTTTTAAACGTCCAACGTATTCTAGAATGATATACTAATAATTTGAGAATTAAACAAAATGTATAAAAG